CTGGAGGAACTCAAGGCTATGGCCCTCAACTACCCTTCAGGTCTGAAAACGAACTCACCCTGTGGCCCAATTTTCAGCTAAGCAGTAGATAGATAGGTACATGGGGCGGGGGGGGGGGGTAGTAACACTCATATGGTATGCTCACAATGGAATGCTCAATCAGTAAAAATCAAAAGAGCAACATTTACTAAAGGACAAAGTTGAGAAGGGATGGGAAGGTGGGTGGACTAGAACTAGGAAACTCAGGGAGGAAGCAGGATAACTGTTATTGTATGGAGGGGATTGCAATATTGAGATTAAAACAAAGTGTATGATCTGTTGAATATAAAGCTGATGATCTTGTCCGTAAACCTTCACCCAATTCACACTAAAAAGTAAAAAAAAAGAAGAAAGTAAATACTAAGAATATAAATATTGTTCAGGTTTCATACGTCAGGAGTGATGCTGTTGGTTAACGCAAAGTCAGCTTGAACCACAAGTTTGGTTATTCAAGTTCTACCAGCCAATCCTTGGAAACTCTCTACAGTGTCCTTATGGGTCAGAACTGACTTGACAGCAACAATAAATCCAACTTCATAGACAGCTTCTTTGAGTTCTTGATAACCTAGTGGATGGTCAAATTCCAGGTGAAGGGCACACCTGGAAAACAACATCCAGGAATTCCTTTGTCGAAAGTCTGATTACTTCATTAAGATTGTAAGAGCTAGACTTCTGCTCTGTCACCAAAGACTTTCTCTCACTCATAGTATGCTTTTAACTCCGCAGTCACCTGTGCAAATGGATATAAAACTACTTAATCTTTGGGGGGATTATAAACGTTGTTGTTCGGTGCTGTCAAGTTAGTTCTGGCTCAGAGTGACTCTAGTACAAGATGAAGCACTGCCTGGTCTAGCGCCATCTTCACAGTTGGTGTTAAGCTTGAGCCCACTGGTACTGCCACTGTGTCAATTCATCTCATTTAGCAAGCATGATGCTCTTCTCCAGGAACTGGTTCCTCCTAACATGTCCAAAGAATGAGAGATGAGGCTCTCCTTGCTTCTAAGGAGCATTTTGCTGTATTTCTTCCAAGACAGATTTGCTTGTTCTTTTGACAGTCAGTCGATGGTACTTTTGATATTCTTCTCCAGCACCATAATTCAAATGTGTTGATTCTTCCACAGTCTTCCTTATTCATTGTCCAACTTCCACTTGCGTATGAGGCAACTGAAAATAATGGCTTGGGTCAGATGCATCTTACTCCTCAAAGTGACATTTTTGTCCTTGAGCACTTCAAATAGGTCTCCTGAAATAGACTTGCTAACACAATTTCTCCTTTAGTTTCTTGCTTGCTCCTTCCATTAGCATGATTGTGGACCCAATCAAAATGATACAAGCAAAAAACACAGAGTAGGAAATAGTTACTTCAGCAGGTCCACAAATATACTCTTGAACTTATACCAATATAATGCTACAGTTTCCTTATGAGGACATAGAGCCTCTTATCTCGAGGAATATGAACAGAACTGCTAAGAGGAAATTAGAACAGAAGAGAAAGGGAATATGTAACAACTGAAACAATAGACTAAAAAGTAAACAAATTCACTTTTAAGCTATGTCCTTGTCCAGTTAATATTTACCATTTATAACTGCATTCTGTCGCTGGTACAAAGGCGGAATCCCCAAAACCACAATATAAAGAGCCAGGTGTGAATGTCTCTCCATTGCTAAGAAGGTTGCTATCCTTTCCACATCTCCTGAAGACACAAGGAAAACAAGATGGAGAAGCTTCTTCTGGGTGTACTGTTGCTCACCGTCATCTCAGGAGGCTTAACACATTCAGGTAGGTACTGAGACTGTTGGGGAAGAAGTGTTTTCCAAACCCCAGGGGAACTCGAGTGCATCATATTTCATTGCTTTTGTTGTGTCTGCTGCTGATTCTTGGGGGAAATGAGGATGAATGACAGCATGTAAGTTGCTCACTGCTGTAAATGTAACAAGTTACTTCAAAGTTCAGAAGTTTAAAATCATGTATTTGATACTTGCTGTGTGCCAGAAATCAAAAAGTAGCTTACATATGTGATTCTGGCTCCAGTTGCTCACAAGGTTGAAATCAAAGAAGTAGAACAGCAATCTAACTAGGGATTTCCTTCCAAGTTCTCTGATATGCTAGTTGGCAGGATTCAAATCTTCACAGACTGTTAGATTGGGGATCTGTCTCAGTTTCCCAGAGTACCCTCCTTAGCTCCTTGCCACATGGGCCTTTCCATAGGGCAACCCACAATATGGCAACTGTCTTCCCCATAGTGAGTGATCCAACATGAAAAGAAAAATCACCCAACACAGAAGGTACAGTCTATTTGGAAGTGACCTAACTTACTTCTTCCATATCCTATTCATTAACAGAGACTCAGCCCACACTCAAAGGGAGAGAAATTAACTTTGGACATATTTTTCAAATCATCATAGTTGAATGTGCGTAAAGTTATATACTTGTCAGAATGAAGCCTCATGAGAGGATAAAGGAAAGCTGGCTTTGTGTGCTATATGGAAACACCTCTCATTTGAAAGAATATAATAGATATGGAGGTCTTGTTTGAAAAAAAGAATTTACCACAGGGGCTGGGGTGTTCATTCTGATGCTTCTCAAAGTCTTAATCTGGTCCACATGACAGACAATGAAAAATTTTAGAAGGAAGTTGGATTTAAATTTAGAAAAATCAATTTCTTCCAAATAGCTAAATTAGCTTTGTGAAATGGCTAAATTTCTCGGAACCTCAGTTTCCTCATCTTTAAAATGGGGAGAAAGGCAACATTTATCTTGTAAAAAGATGTTAGGAAAATTGAGTGAAATAAGTTGAAGAAGAAATCCATTTGTGTAAAATATTGTAAAAGTTCATTTTTATTGGCAGTAATAAAGCTTATATGTTTGGCAATCCAACAATACCCTTCTCCCATTGTTTCCTATTACTGCAACTAAGGGAAACTTCATCTCAAGTTTGACATACCCATTTCTCTCTCATATCACTATCATTAAAAAGTTATGCAAAACTCCATTCTCTGACTAAATGTGCTGTTTTGCTCCAGGTTTGTATACTGACAAGATTATAAATTCAACACTGGGGAATGATTTGATCATAGGGTAAAATGCACAATTTACTTTCCCATCTTCCTGATGCATGCTGTACTGGCCAAAGTTCTCTCCTTTTAGCTACTAACATCTCTAATAGTTTCCTAGGTTGTTCTGTTCGCATTCTTTGTCCAAGGTTAGCTTTTCTTAAAAAACCCTGGTATCTAAAGAAACTGAAATCCATGCTCCTTTTCCATTTCCTACTGTTAAGCAAAATTAACTCAATTCAAGACTTCTAATCTATGTCTTTGCTTATAGACTGTATCTGCCTTGATTCATTTAGTCAACAGTCTTTATCTTCCAGACCTTTAGTGTTTGTTATATTTGCCTTCCTAAGCAAAATGAAAAAAAGGAACCCTGACAGTATAGTGGTGGATTATGATTTGGGCTGCTAACTGCAAAATCAGCAGTTTGAATCTACCATGCTCTTCACAGAAGAATGATGAGGCTTTCTGCTCCCATAAAGATTTATAACCTCAGAAACCCTACGCAGGGTTGCTATGAGTTGGAATAGACTCAACGGCACACCACCACCACTAAGCAAGAAAAATAGTTGATCTTATAATGAGTAATGCTACAGGTTTGCTTGTGGCTCCTATGAGGAAAGAAGTCAATGACAAGTAATTCCACACCATGATGTTGCTGCAGTAAGGAGACAAACAGTGGGGGATTGGTCCTGAACTAGCAAACCAGAGTTGCAAACAGGGAGCAGAGAGCAAAGTGAAGGTACTATAAATGTCTGGACCATATGGTTTGACCACTACTCTGCCTCCAACCTTAACCTGCACTAACCACAGAGGTTGGTAGTGGTCTTGGACAGACAAGCCATGGCTGAGAAGAGTCATTTTAATCATATGTAACTGTAACCACTGATGTCCTGTAGGAGAAACCTCAGAATCTGGCCAGCGGAAGGGCAGGTATGAGGTGCTGCATGCTTGATTCATTACACACAATGAGTTAGTCATGTTCCATTTTCTGTAACTACTGTTTGCTGATCTATTGAGATGAAATCTGTGAAGACAGGGAAGGTTGATGTCTTCGTTTGTTAGCTAGCCCTGCTGTAACACAAGTGGGTGGCTTGAAATAACAGAAGTTCATTTTCTCAAAGTTGTGGAGGCTGAAAGTCCACATCAAAGTCTTGGTTATGTCAAATATGGCTTTGTTGGTACTCCAGGCAGCATCGACCTGCTTCTTTGTCTAATCTGCACTGTTTATAATTCAGTGATTAGGGTTAGTATACATGCTACAGTCATAGGGTCTCATTAGCATGTCAAATAAATAGTGTTACATCCACTGGCTTAGGGGTTAGAATTCCAACACATATTTGGGGGAACGTAACAGTTGACATAAAATAATTTTTCAAGTTGTCGTTGAATTGATTCCGACTCATGGAAATCCCATGTGGTTCAGAGTGGAACTGTGCTCTATGAGGTTTTCATGACTGTGACCAGAGGCCCAGAGTGTTGACCATTTTTTTGTCACATTATTTCTTCTCCACAGATATGAGGGGGAAAGCATTCATTTTTCCTCAAGAATCAAACACAGCTTATGTGTCCCTGATCCCAGCAGTGAAGAAGCCATTGAGGAACTTTACATTGTGCCTGAAGACCTTCACAGACCTTACCCGCCCTTACAGCCTCTTCTCCTATAGCACTCCATCCCAACCAAATGAGCTGCTTCTCTTTGTGAACAAAATCGGAGAGTACACACTGTACATTGGCGATGTTGGTGTCACTTTCAATGCTCCACAGATACGTTATGCTCCAATCCATGTCTGTGCCAGCTGGGAGTCAGCCTCCGGGATTGCTGAATTCTGGGTGAATGGGAATCCAGTAGGAAGGAAGGGTCTGAGAAAGGGATACTCTATAGGGAGAGAGTCAAAGATAATCCTGGGACAAGAACAGGATTCCTTTGGGGGGAGATTTGATGCAAAACAATCCTTGGTTGGAGAGGTGTGGGATGTATCTTTGTGGGACCATGTGCTCCCCCTAAAGGAGATGTGTGCCTCATATTTCAGTGGCAATCTGCTCAACTGGAAATCCCTGAATTATGGAGACTACGGCTACGTGGTGATTAAGCCCAGCGTGTGGGCTTGAGCTTTGCTGTCTTCAGACGTGATTTGTGTTTCATAATAATCACTCATAAATACCCTTTAAGATGAAAAGCACTGATTTTATTTTCTGGCTCTGTTGAGATGGTGTAACCTATATAAAGAAGACAAGGGGTAGGTAGGCCGTAAATATGCAATCTTTACTGTATAGTTGCAAAAATTTCTTCATGTGAATTGCACCACCACTCTCACAGCATCAAACTACAGGGAATCAAGAAAACACAATGCTTCAGTATTGATTTCCAATGTTATAGAGACCTGCACAGCTGTGAGGAGGTCTAATTGGGATTCTTATACACAAACTCAGTCTTCGATAAAAATGACATGGCTACTAGGGGGAAGGGGCTTTAAAGAATGGGCTACTGTATAGTAAGTTCCCAGAGAGAGTTTTAAAAGTAATATTTCTTCGAAGCGAGGTTGTGAGAGTGCTTCATTTGTACTTAACCCAGAAAAGACCCAGGAAACTCAGATAAAGGTAAATGCAAACTCTCCTGGAAGCCCCTCTTCCCATCCACTTTCAGACAATATCTTACACTACATGTATGTCACTTTCAGAAATACATGTAATGCCTCCAAATACCTGCATTTCCTTCTTAGTCCTTCCAGGGCCAGGGAGTCTTAGCTCTATTATTCAACATGTGATTTCAGTGCACCTTGGATGGAGGACATTTAAGACTATTCTTAGTGGGGAGTACAGAGATGAGTGGGAGATATGGATTGATCTCTTTTTACAACAACTTTTTAAGGACTGAAACACATTTGACAAGCTCTGCCTACTTTTTTCTCCAGACTGTTTGTTTTTGCTAAGTACCGTTGAGCTGGTTCTGACTCATAGTGATCCTGTATAGAGTTTCTTAGGCTTTAAATCTTATGAGAGCAGAAATTCTCATGTTTCTTCTGAGGAGTGGGTTTGAACTTTAACCTGTGGTTAGCAGTCCAGTCCTTATCCTACAGCATCAAATCAAGACAGATTTCCCTTTAAGAAAGTAATAAAATTAGGAGATCTAATGGGATCCCAAGGAGCCCTGATAGCATAACGGGTTATGAGTTGAGCTACTAACTACAAGGTCAGTAGTTTGAATCCACCAGCAGCTCTGTGGGAAAAAGATGAGGCTTTATGCTCCTGTAAAGATTTATAGCCTCAGAAACCCTATACAGGATCGCTGTGAGTCAGAACCGACTTCATGGCACACAGTCACCACCACCACCACCAAAGGATTCTCAGACTCTTGTTTAGACAAACTTGGGATTGGATATAGGCACCCAATTGTTCATAGAAAATGAACTCACCAATGTACTGATGAAGAGGGTAAAGAAATGGCGATCAAGTTAAATTCTACATAGAGAAGAATGAAAATCATGGGATTAATTTCTATAGCAGAGAAAACTAAGTAGGGATGTGAGGTTAATACATTTAATTTCAAAAAGATTTTCAGATATCCTAATGCTTGTGAGTACAATGTAGTATATGTGCTACCCCAAAGAAAGAAAGTATATATAACTACAATAAAATTCAGTGAACATGTTGCTTATTAACTGTGCAAACATATAAGAAGTCAAAACCCACCAAGGGCACAATTCTAATGTGACCTCAGCAAAATTACAAAGAAAAGCATTTTATGGATCTCCAAGACTCTTCAAAGCAGATGGCATTTTTTGGACTATTAGGAGTCTGTTTTGTTGTCACTGCCCCAAAGAGGAAGCGTTGTTAAATAAGGAAGGGAGTTTCAACTGTGTTCCCAACACATCTGGTGTATTCATCATGCTCTCTTTGAAGTTTGAGAGCTCAGAGTCTATCTGACATTTAGATTAATATTTCAACCGACCACTTCAAGTAGATGTTATAAAGCTCAGTTTTCTGTCATCAACAAACTAATAACAACCAGCCCCCTTGCTTAACATCCAAATGGTAAGCTGTCCAACCTGTGAGCAGCATCTGGCTAATTCCCCAGTGTTAAACTATGGGATGGAGTCCTGGTGTCGCACTGTAGGATACACACTTGACTGCTAACCAGAAGTCTGACAGTTCAAACATACTAGTTTATCCTCAGAAACCTTAAACATGGTCATTATGAGTTGGAACTGACTCAAAGGCAGTGAACAACAACAACAAATTATGAGATTAGTAAAATATATAGAGGAATGGCTTTTGGTCTCTTTTTAAAAGTCAAGTCAAGAAAACACTCATCCTTAATGCAGCCTCACTGCCAAATTTTGGAACTTTCTCTGTGTAAAGTAGAAATGTTAGGACCAACTTTAAAACAAAAACTTTTTATTGTGATTTCAGGGCTAGCTTACAGAGTAAACTGGTTTTCCATTCAACAACTCATACACATTTTGTTTTGTGACACTAATTACAGTTCCCACAATGAAACAGCACTTTTCCAACTTCCTTTTTGTGAATCCCATTTCTACTTGCTCTTCTTTCCTATCCAACCCTGCCTCATGCATTTTATTCCTGAGCAAATGCTGCCTTTGTCATGTTGTTGTTGTTGTTATTGCTAAGTACCATGCTGCTGAGTTGGTTCCAACTTATAGTGACCCTGTTTAAGGTTTCCATGGAGTGGCTGGTAAGCTTCAACCACTGATCTTGCAGTTCAAACCAACCTTGAAGTCCAGTGCACTAACCCACAGCACCACACCATAGGATCAACTTTTTTAAGCTTAAAGAAAATACCCAGACTATGTTAAATTGTATTTATTTCAAACTACCAAAGATCCTAAGCTAGAATTTGTGTGTGTGTCAGTATTTTTGTGTTTGTTTGTTTTTTTGCCACTAGCACAGTGAAGGGCATCCTGACCTCTTTGTTCCTCAGAGTGTACACAACAGGATTAAGGAATATAAACACTGTGTATGTTACTGACATCAGTTGGTCCTGATCCTTTGTGTTTAATGAAGTCACAGCCATAGTGGATAACAACCACAGAAATGTGAGAGGCACAGATTCCAAAGCCTTCTTCTAGCCCTCAGTAGAGGCGATCTTGAGAATAGTAGAGATGATGAGGAAGTATTAAATGAAAACCAAACCCATGGCCACTATAATAACCAGTGAAATCACAATTAAGTTAATGATGTCATATAGAGTCATGTCATCACATGAAAGTTTCATTACTGTGTGGTTGTCACAGAAATAATGGGTCACCTCTCTATCACAAACGGGCAGTCTGAAAACAAAAGAAATCTGAATTATGGCCACAGCAGTCTAATGCTGCAAGCACCGCACACCAGTTTGTCACACACTCTCTTGTTCATGATGACCATGTATCTCAAGGGGTTGTAAATGTCTACAGACTGGCCATACATCAGTGTTGTGAGCAGAAAAGTGGTTGTTGGTGGCTAATGTGATGAAATAGAGCATCTGGGTGGCACAGGCAGCCAAAGAAATAGTTTAGTTTAGCCCTGAACTATGGATTATGGTGCTGGTGAAGAATATTGACCAATCCAAAGACTGACAGAGAAATGAACAAATCTGTCCTGGAAGAAGTACAGACATAATACCCCTTAGAAGTGAGGATGGCAAGACTTCATATGACACACCTGTAACAAGTTATCAGGAGGACCAATCCCTGGAGAAAGATAGACGGTGAAGTAGAGGGTCAGAGGAGAAGAGACAGACCCTCAATGAGATGGATTGACACACTGACTGCAATATTGGGTTTAAACATAGGGAGCAATGTTGGATGGTCCAGCATCAGATAGTATTTCATTGTACACAGGCACTATGAGTCAGAGCCAACTTGACAGCAACTGACAACAACTGACAGATAGTTATCCAGCAGTGGAACTCTCCATGTGACAGACCTGATATTGATTCCTGGTCAATACACCTCATGAGCATACACAATCCGTTTGCCTCATATGTTGCTGTGATGCTGAAACATCTCAGCAGAGATTCCAGACTAAGACAGACTAGGAAGAATGGTCTGGTGATTTACTCCCCTAAAGCCAATGAAAACCCAGTGGATCGCAAAGGTCTGATGTGTAACAGATTATGACCATTGTGCAGGACCGGCTGCATTTCATTCCCTTGTGCATGGGGTAGTCATGGGTCTGGGACTGACTCTGTGTCAGCAAACAACAACAGCATGTCCTCTTTACTGCCCGGGTTGTTGTTATTGAGTGCCATTGAGTTGATTCCAATACATAACTTACAGACAGTTACTATTATGCTGAAAGGAACCAACATGAGAATTGTCAGTGCTTGGAAGTATGTAAGAAGACAGCCTCCCTCATTTAAGAAACACAACAAAACCTACACCCCTTCCTGGTGGAGCAGAGTGGGCCCTTCCCCTGGAGGATACACTTCAAGCACCGCATCTCCCACTTGGCAGGCAGTTGGGTGTCACACATGCGGCAGCTGTGGATCAAAGAGATACAATCCAAGCGGAAACTGCATTCCAGGAAGAGTGCTCATGAAACGGGAGGCACACCCAGGCAGGGACAGGCATTCAGAAGATACAGACACTGTGTACTTCGGATGCCAAGTCTGTGCACCTGAGCTAGAAGAAGGCTGCCCATTGAGACACCTCACCCCAACCCACCCAAAACAGGACTCCATCATTGGTAAAATCTGAAACATTTCTTTTAACTGAAAGCAAAAAAAGAGTAAAAAAGACAAAAACCCCATTATTATATAAACACTTTCCACTTTGGTACAAATATTAACCTCTGCAAAATTGCATTCAAAACAATTACAAAATAATTTACAGCATGCTTTTGGTGTTACTCAGATCCTTCTGAGCCAAGGCTCAGAGAAGTTGATGGATTTATCTAAAGTCACTGAGCTCATAAGTGGAAGAGTCAACTTATAACCTGAAACAGTTTGCCTACAACACCCTCAGTCTCTATTTTAGCAACAATAACAAAAAGACTATGAAGTAAGAGATTCCTAAGCAAAGGCAGATTCCCCAAGTTCTTGACTGTTTGTTTAAATACCTGCTGATGTCTGCAACCCCATGAGATGCCTCATGCACCACACCTCAAAG